TCCTCCCCGAGAACCCTCTGCACGGGGATCTCCAGTGGCCTACTAATGGGCTTTGGGTCTCCACTCCGCACTCCCCCCATCATTCACTATGGTAAGATGTTTTGTTCTGATGATGCCTTACAGAGCATCAGTTTCACAGTCAACAATTGATGCACATTGTTGCAGCTCATTCATTTTCATCCCCGCCAATGCATCGTCATTATTCTCTTCAAGGGAGGTTTTGGGGTTAAGGTTTTTTGTTTTTGTTTGTTTTGGGGGGTTTAAGGTTTAAAGATTGTCCTAGGGCCACACTTTCAGAGGTTCCACCAGCCTCCACGGCTCCAGAAACACCTGGAGTTGGTGCAGACGAGGAATTCCCTTCTGCATCCCTAAGGTATCTGTGGGCTAATCTTGGAAGAAGATGACCACTGTCTTAGTTGTCCTTGTCTGGAAGCACTGCCGAAACCCGCCCAGTGTAGATGACCACTTTGGCGTTTGAATACCGGTGGCATAAGGGCGGCATAAGGTCACAGCAGGTGCGGCCTGACCAGCTGACGGATGGACGGGTGGGTGCGGGGAGAGTCACAGAGTGGACCTGGCGTGCTGGGTGCTGGGTTGGAGCGGTGGGATGGAACGAGGCAGCTGCTGTCTGGTGGGTCCGTGGTGGGCAGGGGGCTGTGAATCCCCAAGCCGCTTTCCTGAGGGAACTGACCCAGATGACATCAGCTCTGGCCATGGCCCGGCCCCCTGGGGACTAACGACAGGGTCCTCCCATCTCACGCTTTTGGTTAAGCTTTTGTCCAGTGTCCTGGCCTTTCAGGGAGATAAAAGAAACTGTGTGACATTCATCTGGGACTTAGAAAATCAGAGGTTCCCGGAGTCGCTGCTGGTGTGCTGCTCTCCGGCCCAGGTGCTGGCTGCAGAGGGAGGGACGGAAGCCCCTGCCGTCCCCCGGGTTGTTAGCACTGGGAAGGGGCCCTGAGGTGCCAGAGAGCAGAGAGCCCTCAGCTGGGTGTCTGGCAGGGTGGGGGCCCTCAGAAAAATCTCATCTCAGGTCTCTTGGGAGTGGTGAGGCTTGGGTGGGGAAGGGCTTATCTGCTAACTGCCCTTCCCGCCCCCCCCACATACCTTCTCATCAAAGGGAATGTGCTGGAAAACCTTATTGGCCAGTGGACTTGCTGTGTGGCACGACTGAGTCTCCCCACCCCCACCCCTGCTCACCTGTCTCCCTGCTCCTGAGGTCTCCCCAGACTAAGGCCAGAGGAGCAGGCAGGGAGAGAGCACAGGGGCCAGCAGTGGGAGGGTGGAAGGAAGAGGGGATAGAAAGAGCCGGGTCTGCTGGCCTTCAGGTGATCTCATCTGAGGAGGGAGCCTGCCCCCAGCGCCCCCCTGTACGCTAGGGTTGAGCCTTCCTGAGTATTTGGAATGTGGTGGTGGGGGGTGTCTGAGGGCTGGGGAAGGAATGGTTTGTTTTTTCTTTTTTAAAGATCCATTTATTGGGGCCTCTTAAACAGCTCTTCTAACAATCCGTACATCAACCGTATCAAGCATAGTGGTGCATATAGAACTAGTTTTTAAAAACAGTTCTATTGGCATATAATTCACACCAGGGGAAGGAATTTTGAGAAAAGCCCCCTCTCTCCTCACCAGCCTGCTTCCGGCCCCAGCAGATGCGGCCTGCAGGGAGCAGGAAGGAGGCTGGACCCCTGCCACTCCTGGGGTGACCCCTTTGCTCTACCGTGTTCCCCTTTCACCAGCGAAGGGAGGAGGGGGGCTGGCAGAGGCAGCCGTCTGCCTAACTCTCTGGAGAAGTTCAGAAAAGGCAGGCCTGGTAGGACTGAGGTGAGGGGGACCCCGGTGCCAGGAACTGGGTCCCAGGTGGTGTCTGACCAGCTTGGGTGGGCCTGGGCCCCGGGGGGCTCTCCCTCTGAATCCCTCAGGGTCCTCCTCCCTGAGAGCGCCTCCTCCACACGGGCCCTGTGCCCTGTGTGTGCACACTCACCTTCTCAGCCCAGAGGTGCCAACCCTCAGGTATACGCAGTGCAGGGCCCCTTCAAAGGTTCTGGAAGCTGAGCAGGGCTGTGCACAGAGCTGTCTCAATGCCAAAAATAACCCCCCAAATAAACAAACCCCAAACAACCTCTCCATTTGAAACTCACAGAAGCCAACCATGAACTCTGGGATGTCAGAATGGGGCAGGGCCGGGGAGACTGTGCTCTGGCTCAGACATGGTCTGGGCTAACTGGCGCCTAGTTGCTCTGGGCCTCAGCTTCCTCAGCTTTGAGGTTGGCCTAAGAGTGCCACAGGCCTCCCAGGAACAAGGGGACCACACGAAACGTAAGGCAGGCCTGTTGAAGAAGCAGGTAGAAATCGGTTCTCCTGTGCTGCCATTTCCCCGGGGCAGGCACTGTTGGCACGGGGAGCATACAGGTTTCCCAGCATCCTTGACCTCTCCCTAGACACGACTGGGCGGTGGCTCCCCCATGTCACGTGACCAATTAAAGTGCCTTCAGGCACCCCCACATGTCCTATGCAGGCTCCCCAGACTCTCACCTGTCTCTCACTTTATAGACTGAAGTGGAGGATTAGGGAGGGGCGTGACTTGTCTCCCACAGTCTCTGTCCCGGAGTGGCCCCCGTCTGTCCGTCCCCAGGCCAACCTGGTAGGATGGTGAGAGAAGGCCGGTAGCCAGCTGCGGTCAGATTGGTCCCGACCTGTGACCCCACATGTGTCAGTAGGGGTGGGCTCCTGCAGGCTTTCCGAATGGCTGACTTTTCAGAGGTAAGTCTTTCTTCCGAGCTTTCTCTGGGTGGACTCTAAGCGCCAGCAGTAGTCAGCAGGTGAGCATAGTCATTAGGAGGGGTGAGTAGGGAAGACACTTCCTTCAGCTTCCTAAGTCTGCCCCAAAGCCCAGGCCTCTTGCTTTAGGGCTGAGGGCGGTGTCCTGGTGGGCCCAGAAGATCACCCCCCTCCCCTTGTGTGCCTGGTGGCCCTCTTACCATCGTAATGAGCTGTGTGACTTGGGAGAATGACGTGCCTTCTCTGGGCTACTGGTCCACTTGCCAAGTGAGGCCAAGGTGAACTCGCGGCCAGCCACAGCCTTGGACTCTGAGGTGCTTGGGGGCCGGGGAGGAAGCATTTTGATGAGGCGGGTGAGGGTCCAGAGGGGTACATTGTAGGAGCTCAGTGGCAGAGGCGGGACCTCCAGAGCCTCTGCGGAGAGCTTACATGTGGGCAGGGGTGGCTCTGAAACCACCGCAGCACTTGGGCTTAATGGTGGTACTGGGTCTAGCTGATCCTAACTTGAGTTAGTTAATTGTGCCAGCCTGGCCGATAATCACATGTGGGGATAATTGAAAGGCGGAGGGATAAATGGGTGGTGAGCCTCGCCTTTCTAGTTCTCGGGTCTCTTGTTTTGTGATGGTCGCACCAGGGTGCAGCTGCCTTAGCAGTTCCCTGCTTCAGCTTGCAAGATTGACTTCCTACAAGACATCCCCAAGGAGAAGCCACATGGACCTATCCCCATGCAGCCCTGGGTGCTGGAGCAGCCGTGTGGAGACCCCTGCTAGTGCTGAGATGCTTATTCATTTACTGACTCAGCTTTCCTCCTGCAGTCGGCATCATTGCCTCTGTTTTGTGAGGTGGAGGACTTTGTGGACTGGTGTTGGGTTAATGGGTTAATGTTGGACTTGTGGGCTTGGGCAGCACTGGGTTGGGATGTTTTCGTGATGCACATTGTCTTTACATAAAACTCTCTCTTATACATGAGTTGCTGTGGATTTGTTTCTCCAAAGTACCCAGACTAATACATAACTCAAATCAAGCCTTTATGTCAACTGGCTGGGGAAACGGAGGCAAGTGGCTTGCTGGCCTTCATTTCTGAGAGCCCTGGGGAAGGGGGCCTTGGGATGGGCCCCCTCACAGCCAAGCCCTGACTCAGCCTCTTGGCCTGCTCCCTGTGGCCACTTAGGCTGAGAGGAGTGGGGCTGCAGGGAGGCCTGGGGGTGGTGGTGGTGGTGGTGGTGGTGGGTGGGTGGGAAAGGAAGGAACCCCCAGGGGAAATTAGCCCAAATTAGCCGTGAGAATGAGGAAGAGCTGGTGTTCTCGCTCCTACCCTGGTAGATAAATATTTAATCACAATAACAATAATACTGAAGATGATCATGATAATGTGCAGTAACCTGAGCCCTACTCTCAGAGGGAGGAAGTGGGGGGGGCAGGGGGGGGAGAGCAAGCCAGGAATTGAGAGAGTAGGAAAGACACAGAGGGGGGAGGAGGGGGCCTAGCAAGAGTCTAGGAGGCAGGAGCTTGTGGGGGAGATCCTGCATCTGGCCCCTGCCTGCCTGGGATAGCTAGGCAGCAGAGGTGGCCATGTGAAAGTAAGTGGGAGGTCTGAGTCCCCCAATACCATTAGCCCCCAGGGGTCGGGTTGGGGTGGCTCTTTGGCTTTTAGAGGGAGCAGCCCGTAGCACAGCCTCCTCCTGGGGAAACCACAGCCCACAGCCTGGCTTTTCCTTGTAAGGCCCCTTTGCCGTCCCCACCCCACAGTCCCTGAGCGTCAGAGCTGTGCTGGTCCCTGGGACACCTGGGTTCTGGTGGAACATGTGTTCCGTTGCTGGCTGGCTGTGGGCTGCAGGGCCCGTGCGCTCCTGCTCAGGCCTCAGGTGCCTCACCTGAGATTCGGGCCCACTGCGAGGGTCCCCTAATGTAATGCTCCTCCCTGCGGGCGAGGGCTGAGGGAGGAGGCCCTTCCCCCACCCAACCCTAAACCAGTTGGAGGTTGTTTCCTGGGGACTGTCCTCTCGGATGCAGTGGATCCCGGCCTGAAGACGTCTTCAAACGTGACCTAATTTCTGCCTGAAGTGCTCCCATTTAAGCCAGAGCTGAGCAGCAGCTGGGAGGAAAGCAAGTGTAGGGGCCTTGTGGAGCCTTTGGAGATAACCTCCGGCCTCGGCCTCTCTCGGGCCTCTGATGAGAGATCAGAATGGCTAATGTCTTCTCTGGGCTTCTGTTTGATACTCTCTCCCTCTGTCTCTCCCCGCACCCCGCTCCCTCTAAGGTTGGCAGGAGGAGAGGATCGGAGCTCTTTTCTGCTTGATTACAAGATACGGAAGGCTAGGAGCTCTTCGTCTTTCCACGGTCATCTTCTGAAAACTGGCCTGCCAGACCTGGGGATAGAGACCAGAGCTTGGCTGCCCCCCTGACCCCCCCAGGCCCTCCCTGCTGCCCTTGGCCATGGACGGTGCAGGCCTCTGAGCACTGCTCTGCGAAGAGGAGCCGGGCAAACCCACCAGCATGGTCCACCCTGCCCGCCCTCGCTGCTGAAGCTGCCCTGGGGAGACTGGCAGGGGCCCTCCCCACCCAGGCGGTTCATGGGTCTCTAGGGATCTTGGAGATGCCTGCAAAGAGAGGCTGCGGCTGGTGGCGGGCCCGGCTGCCCCTCTGCCTGCTCCTCAGCCTTTACGGCCCCTGGGTGCCTTCCTCCCTGGGGAAGCCCAAGGGCCACCCGCACATGAACTCCATCCGGATAGACGGGGACATCACGCTGGGCGGCCTCTTCCCGGTGCACGGCCGCGGCTCCGAGGGCAAGGCCTGCGGCGAGCTCAAGAAGGAGAAGGGCGTCCACCGGCTGGAGGCCATGCTCTTCGCCCTGGACCGCATCAACAACGACCCGGACCTGCTGCCCAACATCACGCTGGGCGCCCGCATCCTGGACACCTGCTCCAGGGATACCCACGCCCTGGAGCAGTCGCTGACCTTTGTGCAGGCGCTCATCGAGAAGGACGGCACGGAGGTCCGTTGCGGCAGCGGCGGCCCCCCCATCATCACCAAGCCCGAGCGGGTGGTGGGCGTCATCGGTGCTTCCGGGAGCTCCGTCTCCATCATGGTGGCCAACATCCTTCGACTCTTCAAGGTGAGTGCCCGGCCCCATTGGCCGCCGCCTGGCCGTCCACGCACAGGCCGAGGACACCCGGCATTGAGGGTCCCCCCCCACAGCAGCGCAGCCCCGGGGGTCGAGCTTGGACTCAGCGGAGGGGAGGTGTGGGGGCGGGACCCAGCTCGGCGTCGCTGGCCGCGGTGCTGAAACAGCACCTGTCGCCAGGGGACTCCGGGCCCTGCGGGGCGCGCAGGAGAACAGCAGGGGAGACAGGCAGATGGACACACATCACAAGGTAGACGGACAGCCAGATGAAAATACAGAGAGATAGAAAGGGCGTGCGAACATCGGAGATAACTGGGGAGAGAGAGGCGTTTGTTTTGACATGGTTTGCAATCACTGCAATTGCCAAGGGAGACACGGTGTTCTTTTGGGTGCCCAGGAAGCTCCACGTGGCCCTCCCATCCCACCATCATTAAGGTCAGGGTTAGAAACTGCACAGGGTGAACCTGCTGGGTGTGGAGGTGTGGAGATGGAAGAGCAGGCCCTGAGAGGCAGGCAGGCCCCGAGGGGCAGGCAGCCCTGTTTTTGGAGCCCGAGCTGAGCCACCCTCTCTAGGTCTCCTCCTTCCGGCACACCTTCCTCTCTTCCCTTCTGGAATCGTTCCCTGCCCCCTCCCAGCCGCTGCCTCCCTTCCTCTCTTCCCGGGGCAAGAGCTGCTGATTTGCAATTCAATTGGAGCCAAGTGCTTCGCTAAGCTGCTAAAACAACTGAAAGCTACTGGGTAGAGAGAAAAACATTACAAGCATTTTACCAATAATTATGTGCCCGCTCCTCTTTCGGAGTCTGCCTTGTTTGCTCTGTGGGAGTGTGTGTGTGTGTGTGTGTGTGTGTCTGTGAAACAGAGACAGAAGAGAGAGAGCAAAGAGAGGAGAGACACCGAGGTAGGGCCCCCCCCCCCCCTTCCCATACAAGTCATTTCTGCAGCTGCCCAACCTCTCCTGAAATTCTCTGGGCTGTTTGGCCCCACGCAGACTAGGAGCATTGGAAGCTGGTACCCCTCACCTGGACCCTTCTGCAGCCATGAGCCTAACTCCCAGAGGCATCTGTCTTTGCGGGCTTGTGGGTCTGGGGCTCTGGGGGTTAAGGTGGAGTGCAGACAGTGTGGAGGTGTTCTGGGGTGAGAGGTTAGGGAGGCCGTGGGAGGAGAGGAAGCTGGACCCAGGTGGGGTGGGGCAGAGTGGAGGCTAGTGAGTTACAGCATCTGGCTTGGGCCTGGCTTCTCAGGCCTGGGGGAGCGCCACCCAGTGTCTGTCCAGGTGCTCACCTCACTCGTGCTTGCTGGATGGGCCTCTTCTTGGAGTTGGTTTTGTCTGCTGACGTGGCAACGTAGGGCAGCGCTCCCTCTGAGGAAGCAGCATCAGAACGCAGCTCTGACAGAAGGGGCGTGTGCCCCTGCCGTGCCCACTGAGGGTGCAGGCTCACGGGGGGCACAGTCTGGGAAGTCCTCTCAGCCAGTGAGGAGTGGAGATGGGGTGGGGAGAGCAGGGGGCCCCAGGGCTGGTCCACCCGGGCCAGGGCCTAGTGATGATGGGGGGCGGGGCGGGGAGGGCAGCTGAGTCATCACTTCTGCCTGCCTGGTCCAGGCCTGGGAGGCCAGGCGGTTGGAGCTGGCCAGCAGCACAGTAAGCCCAGCAATCCGCATCTCCCGAAGGGTGACCAACTTGCGTGGGACTACTGCCTTCTCCCTATCTGAGCTTTCTGTAAAGCAACATTGTGACTGTGGGTGTTTTAGAATGATGATGAATCAGCCCAGCCTGGCCCTGGGGCCTTGGGTATCAGCCAGGGTCTCCGCCCCGCCCCCTTCTCCCAGAGGGCAGTAAAGTCCCCTTCCTGGGCAGGCAGAGAGGCTCACAGGGGCTGAAGAGCCCCTCGCTTGGCACACAGCAGAGGTCAGGGGGGCACGTAAAGCATTTCTTGGAAACACGGATATGTTGGATGCTGTGACTTCTGCACCGCCCCTCTCCCAGCGTTGAGAGGGCTGGGGGACACGTGGTTGATGCCTCCATCCTCCATCCTCTGTCAGTGCTCCGAGGAGCAGGGAGTGGATCTTGGGGGAGGCGGGCATGGGTGCACACAGAGAGCAGAGAGCAGGGCCGGGGAGGAGGGCAGGGTAGGAGGTGGGGGAGCTGAAGGGAGAGCCAGAAGGAGTCAGACAGCTGTGGTCTGTGATCCCCCGACCCCTGTTAGCAGCCTTCATGTTCTGGACTAGCGGCGAGCGGGCGCCTCAATCATTAGCAGGAGGGGATGAGAGGCTGGGTGAGAAACTGAGAAGCCGTTACTGAGGCAGCAGGAGTGAACTCTGGGGAGGAGGCCAGGAGCGGGGGAGCCTCGGGGAGGAGCAGGTAGAGAAGGGCCATCAAGGAGGACTGCCTGCTGGCCTGAGGGGCCTGGGCTGGCAGGTGTCCATTTCAAAGGGCACTTGAGTGGCCCCAGCCCCTCTCCCTGCTCCCTGACTAGGCCCGGCATGGGGCCTGCTGGGAACTTGGCACCATGGGCGGGCAGCGTAGCCTGCCTTCCTCCAAGGGGGTGGCTTTCTGGCGCCCAGCTCCAAGAGGAGCTCTGGGCTTGGGGGCTCCAGGGTGATCTGCCTGGAGAAGGGATGCATTCAGGGTCAGTGTTTGAGGGGAACCCAAGAGCTGGCAGTCTGGAAAGAGCCAGCTCCGGGGTCTACAGCTGTGGACCGCAAGTCAGACTGTCTGTCCAGAACTGGGTCAGAAGCGGACCAGAAGCCCCAACCCTGGAATTCCTGCATCTGATGGCTTGTATTCCGTGCTTTGTTGCTTCCCGCCCCCTCCTCCCTCATATTGACTCCGTTCTCCCAGGACCGGGAGCATTATCAATGGTTGTGCAGAAAACCTTCTGGAGCGAATCCTAAACCCAGAGGGCATGACCTGGGCAGTGCCCTAGTTCTGGAGCCAGTCAGACCTGGGCTTGAATCCGTCTCCACTGGTGTGACACCTACCTCCACCCCGACTCTCCGTATCAGTCATGTACACCAGAGTATGAACGAGCACACAAGATCTTCTCCTTGTTGTCTGAGAACAGCTGTCAGTCAGATGAGGGGTGTGTTGGGAGTGGGGTGGGCTGGGAAGAACCTTCCCGAAGGCTTTGGAAGGAAGCAGTTTCTAAGTCTTGGGCCAGTAAGGGTCAGAAACTCACTGCCATCCAGTCTATTCCAAATCGGTGACAGGGTCCACCTGCCCCATGAGTTTCCGAGATAGAAAACCTGTTGCAGATGCAGAGAGCCTTGTCTTTCTCTCTCTGAGTAACCGGAAGCTTCCAATGGCTGGCCTTGTGGTCAGCTGCCCGACACATCATCACCACGTTACCAGTGCTCAGAGAACAAACCCAAAAAGCGGTCACGGCTATCGAGGGGAGTCTGACTCATCGCGACCTTGTAGAACAGGGGAGAACCTCTGTGGGTTGTGAGCCTGTAGCTCTTTGCAGGAGTAGAAAGCCTCGTCTTTGTCCTGCAAAGCAGCTGGTGGTTTCAAACTGCTGACCTTGTGGTTTGCAGCCCAGTGTGTAACCACCACTCCCAGAGTGACCGAGAAGTCATTGCATTCAGCCTCTTGAGCATTTTGCTCAAGAAAACGGGGGCTCGGAAAAGGGGAGTTGACCCCTTAGGGGCTCTTTGCCTGTTTCCCTCTTGGAGGAAATTCGGATGGTAATGATCGTAACCCCCTGAGGGAGGTGTGAGAACTGAGAGTGAGTGCCTGGAAAGGGCCTCACCCGGTGCCTGGCACACAGTCAGCCCACAGGAAATGTCAGGACACTGGCACACAGTCAGCACACAGGAAATGTCAGCACACAGCTTGTCACTGGGCTGTGTGTCAGTGGGAGCCTCCACTGAGGTAGAAGGGGCTGGAGCGGGCCGGCGGTGACAGACGGTGACCTTTGTGGCTGCCCCTGGAGTGGCCCTCGCCATCTGCTGGGCATCCGATGCCCTGCTGCCCCGAGCTCCATGCTCAGTGTGTGGAGACAGCACAGCCAACCTGCTCCCAGGTGAAGGGAGCTTCCTGACGGCCACAACGGCGGGCCTCAGGAAGGGGCATAGGGCAGGCAGGAAGAAGGACAGAGGGGCACCAGCCAGCAGGCCGGGGGCAGGCGCCGCCCTGGCCTGGCCCTGTGAGTTCTCTTTCCCCACATGGGACTGCAGGAAGCCAGCCTCCTTCTAGAGAAACGCAGTCGCCTGCCTGGCGCTCTCCTCTGCTGCTCCTGGGGAACCTTCCTGGGCTTAGATGGCACAGGGCTTTCTTTCTGTTGGGGAGGTGGCTGTAAGCTTCTCACGGTAAAGCCAGGGGCACTTCAGAGCCCAGCCTTCAGCCCCCCACATTCTCACGTCTACTTGAGGAGGCCCATTCTTCCAGAAACCCAGACCCCAACCTGGGGGGCCCCTTTGACCACCTCTCCCTCTCCCGTCTGCCATGCGACCTGCTGGGAAGCCTCTCCTCTCGGACTTTGTGCAGATTCCAAGTGTACGTGTACTGACCCCGCGACACCCTCTCCACCTAGACACCTGGAACCCCACCAAGGTCCCGCCCTCCAGCTGACAGTTCACATCTCTGCCTAACCTTCGCCAGGGCTTCCTTTTAGATGAAAACATCAACTCCTTGCCTCTCAGCGGCCTCGTGCTGCTCTGTGCCCGCCCCCCCACCCCCCGCGTCTCTCTAAGACACACCCGGCAATAGCAGGACTGTTGCCTTTACCTTCTCAGAGACACTATGCTACCTACCTGACACCCACACCCACAGGGCCTTTGCCCCTGCTGCCTCCTCTGTCCCAGGAGCCCTGGCGGCATGGTGCTCGCCCATTGGGCTGCTAACCTCCAGGACAGCAGCTCGAAACCCCTGGCCGCTCTGTGGGAGGAAGACTGTCCCATAAAGAGTGAGTCTCAGAAACTCACAGCCTCCGGTCGGGCTGTGTTGAGTCGGCATCTACTGTAACGTAGACTCAGTGGCAGCAAGAGAGAG